TCTATATATTATTAAAGACGAGACGTTATACTATATATTGCCTTAGTAAAATATTCAATATTTATTGCTTTATTAAATTTTAAAAACTGTGATCAGAACTTTTGGTATACCCTAAGTATATATACATAAAATAATATTACTACTATGAATGCAAACATATCTTGATCAACAATTTATTTCCATAATAAGGAACAACAAAAACTGCTATTCAACATCCAAAATGTAACGATGGCACAAGAAGCGTGTGGGTGTTGGTATGAATTTAGAAAGGATCCACACCCTACCATATGTATATAGTATTTATACTTGTGTTTTCAACACCACTGTCTAGAAATGAAAAAATTATGTGACTCTTTTTCGTTCTCTCATGTGTTATGCGTAGAATAAAAAAACTGACGTCAAATAGAGTTGAGAATAAGCAAGTTAACAATAATAACAGATGCATCATTTCTTCGCCATGTGCTTTCATCTTTCACCACATTCAAGCAATGAATCTTATCAAGTGTATAAGAAGCACCTGTTTCTGTTGTATTAAATCACTAATTCTTCTAGTTAATTGTTGAGAAAAAAATGAGTGAATCAAATAAACCTACGACTTCTGAGCAGATGGATGACAAAAATGAAATAGGTGTAAGTAAGAATACTGTGTATTAATCGAATTGAATATCAATTTTGTTTGTTTTTTCTTCTGTAAAGCCATTTTGTATCACACCAAAGTACGATTGTCCTCATGTGGGTAATCGTGTTGAACTATTACTTCCATCGACTCAACTTGATCGTGAGCATCAACTACCCTGTGTTGACTGTAATAAAACACAAGAAAATTGGGCTTGTCTACATGAGAATTGTAATTATGTAAGTCATTCATTGACAATCAAAATATATTTATAGATACATATATTCTTCATTCAATTAGATTGGTTGTTCTCGTTATCATCAAAAGCATATGTTAAGCCATCATGAATCAACTGGTCATAATATTTGTCTTAGTTTTTCAGATCATTCAGTCTTTTGCTATGCATGTGATAGCTATATTGATAGTCCTCAATTGTTTAATCTCAAACAGCAACTAAATAATGCTCATAATTAAATACAGAACAAACGAATAATACATACAAAACTTTTTTTCGATATATTCTATAATTGTTATTTTGATATTTTAATAAAATAATCCAGAAACTACTTAGTTTGATGTCTTCTTTTGATGTAAATTACATAAATGTAATTTTTGACAGATGCATTATATCTATTAGTTAGTCATCAAATAATAGACTTGAGTTTTATTGATGTAGCAGAAAAATATTTAGAGAGACTTTGTTTGTCTATTTTAGGAAAGATCAATGTTTCAGAAAGATTTCTAAATAAAACAACAGATTTTGAATATTAATCACTTTAAATATGTAAAACCGATGAAAGAAAAATATTTTTTAATACATTTTCGAAAATTTAAGCAGAATCAAAATATAAATTGACTCTTATTTTTCATATCACCAATGTTAATAAACTTCAGTTTAAAAAGTAGAGAATGTCATTTCTTCAAATTAAACTATTTGTGAAATAGTTCTATATGATATGAAAATCGTCAAATGAAATAAATAACAGTCAATAATTTCTAATATTTGTACATGTTATAGCTTGAAGCGCATCAGTCATATTCATTATCAATTTTCTTATTATTCGTTTCTTCTTATCATCGTCGTTGTTTTTTTTTGGCTATGTGATAATTACACTTGATGATAAAAAGAAACTTTTTCAGACTAGACTTGAGAAGGCTGGGATGTCTTTGTAGATTCTAGAAGGTCGTGAGCATCCTTTTTAGTTGTGCCTAATCTTTTCTGTATAGTTAAATTACTTCCTGCTTCGTGTTGGAAACAGTGGCTGTACTTGTTAACTTTTGATCTAGTAGTTGTTAGAATTAGGAGAAAGTTTAAATACTTTCTCTTAAATTGATACTTACAGATTTCCTTTGAAAAATATATCTGTGAGTTCTAGAATGTCTCTAAATAATGATAAGAAACACGATATTGTATACATGTTTTATTCAACTATCAAACGTTTCAAAGTATATTATTAGCTTTGGTTGAGTAATAACATCATAGATAGAATATTTTTTATAATAGTTTAACATCGAAATAGTAACGTTATAAAGGTATTTTTACGTACACTATCTTCGAAATTATAAATCTATTAGGGTGCTTACAGTTTGTATCATAGTGCATGTTATGTTTTGTTTCGTGACGAGATTTAGACCACAATACACAATTCTAGAATTTTTTTCTCTTTTTTTTTTGTTAACTTTGTCTAAACAGTTATTGTAATTGATTTAAAAATTAAATCTGATAAATATACATACAAGATAGTCATGTTATCTTGTAGGCAGATCTGTAATTAATTCTTGTTTGCAGATGAATCTGATGCGATTGTACCATAAAAATGTCACATTTCTTGTTTAAGATCTTGAATTCGTAAGATTTAAGAAAGACTACGTTAACACTATGGAGAACTAAATTGTCCTCCATTATTCAAGAAAGCATAGTCTTCATTCAAGAATATTTAGGAAGACAACCATTTTGAACGTTTTATGAATTGAACATGAGTCTATAACTTGTCTCATTATAGTCGAGCAGAAATCTGACTTCAAACTCATATTCAGCATCAAATTTTACGTCCGATAGGCTGTTTCAGAAGTATTTTGTTTATGAATGTAGATGTGCTAAAGTGTCTTACGAATTTTCAGAATGATCTATTTCAGACACAGTCAGTTGGTCATTTCTCTTCATACAAATGTACCTAAGTGCAATTTTATTTTTAGCTTTGATTAAAATACAAATATTGAATCGACAGATGTTTATATTCGTTGTTATCTTGAAAGATTATTTGAAAAAAGTTCTGCCTTTTCCATTGTTTTTGCGAGTTTAAAGCTATTTTTGAACTCTTAAAACATGTCTAGTAGATAGAATATACATAAAACTATATATAGAGAAGAAAAAATCGAAAACTACTGCGTCAGAAATACACATCCACCAAACTCAAACGGCTTGGGTTCGGTACTAAAAGTAATAGAATGATTCAAATTTGAGCTTAGATTCATCTCTGCTCATGTTATTTACTTCCAGATATATACTAATTCTAATTCTGCGACTATAGTGAGCATGGCTACAAATGAAAATGACTTAAATTGGTAGTGTTGAATCCTTGGAAGAAAATAGCAGAAGCACAGATGGACCTAAACTCAAACTTGAATCATTCGATTACTTTTACTACCGAACACGAACTTAATACCCAAACTTTCACACGATTTGGATGTGAATTCGAGTTTGATGCATGTTTACTCTCGTACATTTGTGCTTAACACCTATAATAAGTGCACGCACTTTACTGCGAAAAATGTATGTGTATTCAAGGTTTCTAAGTAAAAAATGCGAAAATTACCAAGTATTCGTACTAAGTATTCAATCATTGTTAGACGCATGCATGAATGTTGCCACATCAAATTTTCCAAATTGCTTTATGTTTCTTTTTTGCGTCTATAATCATATTATTTATGTGTGAGAGGAGAAATGTTATTGATTTCCAGAACATAAATTCGATGTTGTTGTTGTAATTAGGTCTATTGAAGAATAATTTGATTTATTCGATATTATGACTATCGAAAAATTAGTTAAGTTGTTCAGGCAGAACTTGTCTCATAAAATAAATTACAGTGTAATGGTATCTGACTCGAATAAAGAATGATAAAAAAGTCTTTGTTTTTGCGTTTGCTTCTTTATGGTTGTTGGTTCAAGCGCAATCCAGTAGAGAACATAAATCTACAGTCTGCTTTTTTAAAATTGTTATCAATATTTTGTCCTGCGTCCGTACAAGCCCAAGCATGTATCTTTCATTTTAAACATTTGTTTAGCGAGTTGTACACATAAATACGAAGAAGAATGGAAAACAGTTCGCTTTCAGTACAATTTGTACTCACTTAGACGATACTCACTTAGAGAGTGCACGTGAAAGCGGCATTATTAATTCAACAACATATCTTAGAAACAACGGCAATTGATTCTTGGTGGAGTTCATTTCAATCATATGAGGCTCATTCAACCTAGATAGATGAAGATCCCAAACACAGGATCATTAATTGAATACGAATGTTTCAATTTATTCATCTACAGTCCAAAGTGAAATACAATCTACTGCATTGGAGCCCAGCTATCATGATTGTTAGTTGTGATACTTTTGTTTCCATATTTTCCTTCGATACCAATCTATCAACGGATCCCAAGCATGTTTTTAGTATCCAACATAATAGATTCTGTTCAGTAAAAAAAAACAAATTGTTTGACAAAAACAAACTTTAAAAATCGATGCCAATTGAGATTCAATTAGACATAACATGCGCAAATGATCGAGAGTCAAATATTGAAAGTAAATAATAACGATGCTCGGTTGAATAAAACTGATATCACTTTACAAGATTCATTTTCATCTATTTCAATCGAAACTCAGTAAAAGCTCGTCTAATTAATTATTGTTTCAAATACAACATAGCATGGCCCATCAATATGAATACAACAAGATAGTTTGAGTGTTCACTGAATATTACTGATGAAAACAGTTTATTGTCGTCGAGTTATCCTGCCGAAAAGGCCATACTTGGGTCGCATGGTGATACGAATGTCTGGCGTAATTTTCTGACCGGGTTCAAACTGAATGTTGCATCGTTGCAAAAACATCGATAGGACGACTTTCGCTTCGAGCAAGGCAAAGTGTTGACCAATGCAATTGCGAGGTCCGGCCGAGAATGGTAAATAGCAGAACGGATGCGCTAGTTTCGGCTTGAGACCTGTGCAAGGATCACGTAACCATCGTGTGTAATCGAATTCGTACGGTCGAGACCAGAACTCAGCACGACGATGAAGTGTATAAGTATTAAGCCATACGGTCGTATGAACAGGTATGTGAAGTTGTTTATGGCCTTTACTGCCAATCGTATGTGCTCGTATACAATAGCGCGTAAATAGAGGTGCCGGTGGATAGAGACGAAGTGTTTCGTAAATAACAGCCTCGCACACGAATAAACTACTGAGATGATCATAGGTCGGTTCTAAACCATTGGGCAAAACGCGATCGATTTCTTCTCGGCAGGCATGTAGAACATGTTCATGAGTCGTGAGAATATACATCAACCACGTCATCAAATTGCCAGTAGTTTCGTGTCCAGCGAGAACAAAAGTCAATGCTTGTTCCTTGATCTCTTCATCTGTAAACGGTTGTCCTTGATCATCGACAGCAGAAAGAAGGAGATCCAGCAGATCGGCTCCGACACAAGAACTCGTTGATTTTCCCTGTCTTCTATCACTAATAATCTGATCAACGAATGTATCCACCATTTGAGTAGCTCGATCAACAATGTTTTTACGCCAAAACGGTAGTTGAGCAAGAAATGGTAAGAGATTGACCATACGCATCGTTCTATACATAATCGCTTCCAGTGCTTCGGTAAAGGTTTGAAACATGATCGCTTTAGCATTGACAATGGTTTCAAAGCCTTGACCGAAAGCACTTGAAGCAATAATAGTTAGCGTGAGTGAATTCAGTTCTTTTTGTAGATCGATCGATTGATTAGACGAAGACTCTAGGAGTCTGTGAATAGCTTTAGCTGTTCGATCAGCCATGATCGAAACCATCGATTGAAGATTAACGAAATGAAATGCTGGATTGAGCATTTGTCGAGCACGCTCATGTTCCAATCCCGTACTTACTAATAAATTGTGGGAACCGATCAATGGTTTTAGAACCGTAGTAAAATCTTTCGGCTTTGTATAGTCCGAGATATGTGATCGACCAAGAACGTCGGCCAACATGTCCGGTTCGAGCACGACGAGACGTACCAATGGACCGTAACCAATAAGAAAAACTGGACCATGTTTCTTTGCAAGACTTTCATGGTATTCAAATAAAGCATCATTATCACGAGCTCGACGTATTTCAGGCATTTGACCCAGAATTGGCACAAACGGTTCGCCAGGAATACCTTGGCTTCGTAGTGCATCATAGACGTATTTCTCTGGACGAACTAACTTCCAATAAATAGTAAAACAAGTCGCGAGGAAGATTGCTACTAAGATGAGCAATAGAACAAGAATAAACATCTTATCTAAAATATAATCGTTTTTTTGTTGATTTCTGCATCGAAACGTACACTATTTGCTCGTATTTAAATCATGTTAAAATGTTGATAGCGGATACACACGTGTTGACGAAAACATGACAGAACGAAAACAGAAATATTATAAAGCACTTACTTGTCGCTTGTTTTTATGGCCAAACGATATAGCGAAAAAAAACATGTAAATACACCTGATAAGAACATTCACTTATACCAGGTAAAGCAAGCTTCATGTGAGAGTCTGAAATGTTAAAGATGTACGTATGTGTGACTATGAGAGCCAGGCTGGCTGAATCTTAAAATATAGATATCGGTTTGCTTGGTTGATTGTGTAATATAGTGTGGATAGGAGTGAGTACAAGAATAAGAAAAGAGAGAAGAGATATACTTACACTCGCCCTTCATCGATTCTCATTATTCATTTATTATTCAATCGTTCATTGTTTTCATGAAAATTTTAAAAAATTAAATAGAACGAATACTTTTCTTCTCAACATTTAATTCACTATTGGTTCGGATGATTAATTAAAACTTAATAGTAACATAGACATCACAGAAAAAGAGAGTAGAAAAAAAAATAAACGAAAAATATCGAGGAACTTCATATTAAAAACTACATGTTTTAAAGGCTGATCGAAAACTGGTTATCTAGAGGACTTGTTAAACATTTGTAAAACTTGAAAATATAAATCTATAATGCATATCTTATATACATTTAGCAGGTAGCTCAAACAAATAAACATATCTTTATTTACGCTCATATTTCATGTTCGAATATGGATGCATATGAAATGAAAATCCTCTCCCACAAATAAACTCACACATTCTTGTTTTACTTCTCTTATTCTCATCTCCGTCAAAAACACATTGAATTACTGTATACATCTGTGGATTAAATAACAGATCTGCATCACTTATACTCACATGTGTTATTATGAATATTTCACTGTTAATCAGCTCAATAGAATATTTTCTGAAATAATTACATATCTAAAATTATTATTAAAAAATTCATGTATACAACTTAATTTACGAAAATTAATTTTTACTCAAATTATTGCTGGTCCAGTGATATTATTAGATTTCACATGTCTTCCAAGAATGTTATCATCATCTATTTCTGATTTTAATAATCTTCGTTCATCAAGATTCCATGATATGGAAGATCCACAAGAACTTTTCAATCAATCAATCTTTGTCAATTACTCGAAGTGTTACACTTAAAGATTTCAGTAAGAACAAACCTAATACTGTTGTTCTTCTTCTTTCACTTATGATACTATTACTGAAACTTAAATCATATAGACTTCTCTATCAAAGTTCTTAATTTGTATTACAACAACATTCAATTGTTTTTCAAAGACCATGAAATGTTTTAAATTGAATATATTTCATCAAACTCTATGGCATCATTTTATTGAATATGATCATGTTATTATTTGAAAAACTGGTTCTCAATATAAACTATAGAGTAGCTCAATGCTAATTTCCTATCTCATTTCGGCTTGAGTACATCAACGAAGGAATCTTTATTCTAGATAGTCGAATAAAAATTTAAGAAATTCATCGAAATTCGACTTTTTCAATCCGTTAAAAGGAACAACATTTACTAAAGACATTATTACGATACAATATTGAAACAAATGACATCTATATTCACAATTATATTTAGAACAACTTAAAAGATAAATATTGATTGCCAATCCAGATAATTGCCGATAATATTAAGGATTGTAGATGGGCAGTTCAAACGCATTTTGCTGTAATTGAGTGCTGCGATTTGTTCAATCATCATGATCTTTATAATAAAATTTAAAAAAAATATATTAAATATCATGAATAATATTGCCTAAGATAGGTTTCAAAGACGAAGTTTAAAGTTAAACAGATCTTTTTAAAACTAACAGAAATTCGAATAATTTCAATTTTAAAAGACATACCTCTGTTGAAGTGTTTCCATGTATTGATCAAACGTTGACGAAATATACCAAAAAAAAGTGGACTTGTCATAGTATTGACAGGAAATGATTTAGCAAAATTCAAATAATATATAATCAAAGAAAGTTGATCCAAAAATGATTCAACAGTCATCCGGTAAATACTTTTTGATGCATTTCTCGAAAGTAAACTATATGCTAAGAAGATAGAACGAAATGAGGTCAATAAAATGCCTATACCAACTTGAAAGAGCATAATTGTAATTAGTAGACAATCAACTCTGTGTAGTCTACCTCTTCGACTTGTTACATTTCTTACACGGTGTCGCGACGTCCGAACATTTCTGAGAGTAATGACACTAGCAGCAAACATGATTATATAAAATAAAATTGTATTACAAACAAGTATAAATACGCTAATAAACATTGTATAAGCACCAGATCTTGGCATACATGTGTATATATTATTATTTACATCTACTAATTGTAAATCATAATAAACAATCATGTGACAAAAACAAAGTAGCCAGAAAATAACACTTAGAACTGCAGTATGGCGAGCAATTGAAATGCGACTCAATCTACGCCATTTTCTTGACTTTGATGTTAATAAACATCGATCGACTGATGCAAGTGTTAGAAAAAAAGTAGCTAATGCTGGTATAGCTACGGCCAGATATGTTCGCACTTTACAAAAGACAACTGATCTACGAGGTAATATATATGAGTAATGATCACTCATTAAACGTGTTGAAGCACCAAATGTTAGATAAATCAAATCGAATATTGCTGAACATAAAAAATATAAAGCACATGAATTGCGACGTAGTTGTCTTGATGTAAAAGTAAGAAGATTGCAAAAACTACCGATTGTTCCAACAATGATAGTAAAATACGGAACATATAATGTTATACCATTAATCACTTGATTGAGTATGAGAATATTATTGTCCATCATAATTACTAATGATACTTTGAAATAAAATTAAAATTAAAAAGATGCCATCTATAAAATGCATGTACTGCCATGTAAAGACTGTAATAATGAGAGAAAAAGATTCCAAAAATATTGAAATACTGCAAGCTTTTTTTATTATAATCGTTCTTGCGGATAGAACTACGAAATGAAATGATCCCAAGGCAACTTTATCCAATTATTAAATGATTAAAACACATTGTATATAAAACTTTTAACATAAAATTCTAGACGATAATCATAATTTAGTTATAATATATTGTTGTAATAATTTATATTTTACATATTGAGATGGAAAATACAGTGTTTTTCAGCACGCAATGGGTTATGAAATTAAAATTAGAATAATATATGTTTAAAAAAAGACATTACTTTCAAAAAGAATTATAAATCATTATTTTTGACTACGTCTACCAAGTAAATATTTGAAAAAGTTATTAAAAATGTTAATTTATTGAAAAATAAATTTATTTACGAGTCATTATAGATGATATATTAATGTCGTAGGTCAATCCTATGTTGGTCTAGAACAATCTTGGATCACATATTGAACGGGTCCACTCTCACATTGAGGAAGCAATTTATCAAAAAACTCGAATCAGTCTCTCGATGCATGTCAAGTTCGGATTGTCATTGATGAACTACAATAAGGCAATGGTACTTCAGTTGATACAATCATCAGTTCATGAATTAAGGGATGATATGAACTGACATAGATCATTTTATGTAAGATAGCAGTTTTTATGGAGAATGGTTTGTCACTAATCGAACTCGCAGTTAGTTCGTCAGATGATCACTGATTTATGTTGTTGAAATGGTATTGTCTTATTATAGTCCATCAAAAGCAAACTGGATCAACTATGGATCCAGAGACTTGTTTAAGTTTTACCATAAATCTTCTTCCATCTGACATTGGAATAGTTTAATCTCGGATCTAAGATTCGTCTACGACATACACATATTGTTTGACTACACTCATGAATTACAAGATATTATTACATATCTGTTTAAAGAAATTTTATTTATTCTTTGAATCATTTATAAGATTAAAAAAGCTAATTAGCACAGCCGCTTTGGGACTGAAATGCAGAACTTACATATATTCTTTAGCCTCAATATATTATTATCAAATACGTCAAGTGGGAAATTTCTCGCATACTATAGTTGTTTTCCAAGATAATCGATCTTATGAGAAGCAATCCCTCGTATTTATTTCTACATTTCTTTTTCGTATTCTGTTTTTCTTGACTATCCATTATCCTTGGTCATTTAAATAATAAGTTTAATCTGCGCAAAAACAAAAATCTGTACTATTTAGAACATTCGCAAATGTATGCCAACCATTTAAATTTCGAGGAATACTTTGGAATGTTCGAGAATTCTCTAGAGTAGTCTAAACCTTACGAGAGTCGAGCCAGAAAACTTCAACATAAAACTTATACTTACTACTTCCTTCGAAAATATATGTAAGTTTCACAAAAAAAATGAATCTGAAAAGACGTATAAAGACAAACGTAGTTTATTATGCTATAAGATTCCAATACCATCGTGTAACATGATGAAGTGAGGAGTGTCACTAAGTATACGCACTTTTTACTTTTCTTTTGTTTATAGCTTTATAAAATTCGAATATAGACTAGTATAATTTTTTATATTCTTTTCTACTTAGACATTTTATCTTAAATAATAAAGTTACTTATCTTTGACGCTTTTACAACATTATCGTAGCTATTTAATTCAGCTAGCTAACTACCTAATCTTTTGGTAACTACATTTGGTTTATGAATCGGCATAATGTTGTGATCTGTCCAAGCGTAGCCTTATTAGAAAATTATCATAATTATTTTAAACAGTCAATCGTACAAAATAAAAAATAAAAATACGAAATTTTGAATAGATATCAAATTTTTTTAAACACCAGTTGAATGTGTATTTTCTTATAGTGTCATATTATTTTATGTAAAACTATTCTTAATTTTTCTTTCGCGCATAAAAACTAGAAGCAATATATATAGTAAAATGAAAAGCTTGCTATTAACGTTCTTAATACAAATAAACAGGCAAGAGAAAAAAGTGGCTAAAATAACTTGACCCAAAAAATAGCTTTATTTGCTCATTCCTGGAAAGGAGGAAAGACAATTAATAATAGACACAGTCAGGAACGCAGGCACTGACAAGAGCGAAAGTAAAGGAGAACGCATCGATAGAACATCAAACAGGAGTTGTATACATATGACCGATACTAGAAACTAAGAAATTGTTCTGATTTTAATTTCATCATTCGTTTAATCGAACTTATAATATAGGTCATGTCCATGAAAATCTGATTGCAGAATGAAAACTTAAAAAGTTAAAGTCTGGAGCGAAAACATTTGATACACTCCAATGTTTTCTGAATTTTGTGGTATCTGATACATTAGGATATTTATTATCGATTTAAGAATGACAGAAACTTGTTTTAATTATCTGAATAAATCAAAGAATTTCGGAAAAAAACGTTTCTGTTGAGTTGAATTAATCACATCTACCATGCATATATGAGCAATTTATATCGTTACAGACGTGATTCCACAGAATAAAAATGCGTATATATCCGGGCTCTGGCTTTCCCTAAAGCCAATTTAATATGTTAACTCTATTTTGAGGTATTCTTAATGTCTTGAAAAACTTAACCCCAGAGGCTTTTTTAGGTGAGTTATTAAAAAGCTATCGTTAAAGAGTGACACAAAAACGATAGAATACAGGTTCTTACTGAATGTGTTTCCATTTGACAATCCTGCGACTTGAATTGCTGTCTGAAAACTAGATGGTGAATTTTCCAGAGGAGTAATCAGGCTACGAAAGTCTATAAACGAAGTTTTTCGGAACGTGGTTTGGTTTTTCAAAAAATTGTAATTGCTGACTCTTAGTGGTATGACAGATTAGGAATATGGATACGAAAGATGCTCCTGTTACTGAATGAAAAGTGCAGAAATCAATTGTAAATTGTACAAAATCTGCTTGGAAATCTCGAGCCGATACCCAAACAAAGTCTTTTTCTCTGAAATATAAGAAGATTCGCTCGAAATTCAATTTTTGAGTCTGATCTTGCTGAAAATTTCGTCACGCATGTAGTTCATGTCTTGAAGTCTATCCTGAAATTCTTTTTTCTTATCATAGGATTAGAAAATTATTCGCCATTTACGTTTTAATGAATTAACCACTAAGCTAATCAATTTTAATTGGATGAAAACACAGAGAGTGAAGATTTTTTCACATGTTCATGTGAAAAAGAGTTTCTTAAAAGCAATAAATCTTGTAAAAAATGAAAGCCAAATGGAATACAATCATGCCCTATTCTGCCTGAAATGGCCTATTTATTGACAACAATGTCATTCTTTCGTCAAAAGACCTGTAAGTTTATAATAGGTCAAGATTGTTATTAAAGTAATGTGCTTCGAGGTATAATAAAATTAAAATCTGGCGAATTAAATATAAATATTTTGTATGGAAATAATCTTATCATCAGTAGTTTTGATAATTATTGTAATATAAATTCACTCTTCCGATAGAGTTTATATTAAATACTTTTTGCAAATATTTATGTTGTCATCACTAGAATAGTTGTGACCTGACAATATAATGATTATTTCCTGATCTCGCGCCATATTCTTTTGATTTACGATTACAGATCATATGAGAATCGATGCAAGGGTTGTATGATAACGAAATATCTAGCGTAAATTCGACGGCTAACGGTTAGTCAATAGAGAACTTAAGATAGAAGAAAAATCATTTATTGGCATGCTGTTTCAATCAAATTCAAAGATTGAATAGAGTCAAAAGTTGACTATTTTCGTTCCTTATATTCATTCAATTTGTTGTTCTCTTTTTTTTCTGTTGTTCATAACATAGTGCCGCCTTCTTTTTGTTCTTATTATAACGAAAACTAATAAAAACTCAATTCTTCATTCATATAATCATATTTATTACTGCAATGAAAAAATTTCTTTTTCTTCTTTTTAATGAAAGATGATCATAGATAAATATACATCATTAACCTTAGTGATCGATATGTGCTTATTGACCAGGATCTTATTGCATTCTTCAAAATAAACCCCCGTGCTATTTGTGTTCATAGAAACTTCTTCATTTAGTCTTCTGCTTCAATATTTAGTCACCTTAATCGTTTTGTTTAACATCAATCGGAACAAACGTGATAGAAAGAGTAGTGAACATCATCAATAAATTCAGATCATACAGTGTACAATTTTCTACGCGCTTGACATCAGATCGATCTTTGTTGTATCAATAATTTAAATTGCGCTGATATTCGCATCAATGCCAAAGAAAATATGGGTTCACCAAGTTATTTGGATGATTGTATGATATTCAAGTCACAGACGCCGTTTGGAGAAAGTATAAAATACAATATCTTTGAAACAGAGGTGGGCGGTCTACGGGTTTCGACCAGCGGGACCATGTGGCGGCGGGCGGATTGGGGAGAAATATTTTTAGTTCTTCGGGATTGGCGGAGTACGGGTTTTGTTTAATATACGGGTGGGCGAGGCGGGCTAGGCTAATTAAAAAATATACGGGCTTCGAGCGGGTAAAGAATTTCTGCGAGGTACGATTAAGGATCGTGAAAAATTATCGATAGATGTCTTTATTCTAGATATGCACCAGAGGTGTGCACCGCTCGTGCGGACCGTCCGTTTCATCTCGAACAGTATGACTCATATAGTGCGATCGCACCGCTTCCAAAATTTGCGAGCGGTACTGGTGCGGAGCGGCCGTCTTCCCCTTATCTTACCGCTCGAGCGGCCGCGTGATCTTAATTTGGTCATTTTGTGCAGAAATGTCTTCTGAGTTTAAAACCGACAAGCTTAAGCTGGAATTGATATGGTTCAGCAGCATTCTTAACTTTTTCTCTGCTGAACAATAATGACAACACTGAAGGATTTACTACATACATACTCATAATCACAATTGAAAGAAATATCATTTTTATCTTCCATACCAGCTCAATTGTGATTTTGAAACCATCTTTCTTTTAAACTCGCTATACATGTTACTATTTGTATATATATATTTTATTACTCCTTTTGTTACATACATCATACAGATTTATTATCGACTTCACACTATGGCTTTCTATTATAGTTTCTCACTTATGTAACTTATTGGTAATCTGTCTCCCTCTTTACTAGTACAAATTATTCTGTTAATTTATTGGTTTACAAGTTATACATTAAAAAGTAATCCTTTTATGCAGTTATTTATTCTTCGTTATCGCTAGTCACAAAGCTGATTTTATGATCTTTATTTAGTGATACATAAAGAAAAATATGAAATTCTGCTATTTTCTAGATCAATAAGTTGCACACTCGTACAAGTTGAATCATTTATCAAATGGAATATTGAATATACGATGCCTCATAGTATTGATACAGAATCAGTTATCAAATTCCATTATACAGAAAAAGATATTGCGTCAAAGACAATGAACATTCAATTATCATTTGAAAAATTAGATAATATTGACGAAAAAGAACCACAACAGGTTATCCGCATGAAAAATGAAATTGAATTTTTATTGAAAATGAATACAGATGAATATAAAGTAATTTGAAGACTTTAAAAAGTACTGATTTAAATATGATTACAACGGAATTTTTAGATTGTACTTCGAGATAAATCAAAATCACGACAATATTTCGCTGATTGGTGGTGTGTCTTTGGAATACCAACACAAACTGTAGATGGAAACAGCTATTCAATAAAAAACTTCATTGCATGTAAATATTGTAAAGCTGTTTATCGATATAGTACGACGATGAGTTCATGCAAAATAAAAACACATAAATGTTATGTACAAAGACGTAAACGAGAAGAAATAGCACACACGGAAGTAGATGAATCATCAATCAAATCAACACAACCAACTTTATCAAAATTTTCCTTTAAACCTGTATTTAATCATGATTCTGATAAAAGCACGAAATCGAAGTGCAATGAATTAATAGTACAATGGATATCAAACAATATAAGACCGTTTAGTATTGTGGACGATGAAGGTTTACATCAACTATTACAATTTTTTTATGAACTAGGTAAGTCATTTTTGAAAAAGACAACTTTTATTTATTAAATTCTTGTTTTTTTTAATTTTTGATAAAAGTTTCATTTAGTCATTTACTGATGTAAAATCTACAGCGTATGCTCTTTTTATTTTGGTATGAATAGAAAAGATGTCAATTTGAATGTAAAAAGTTTTATTCCTTCACGATACACAATTTCTCGAAACGTCCATTCTGCTGCTGAAGAAACTCGTCTGAAATTTCGAGAACTGTTACTTGAACCACTACAGAATGAAGCTGTTACGTTATCCCCGGATTTGTGGACTGATCGATTCAGACAAATAACTTATTTGGGTATTACTGCTACAATAATTGATGCATCCAGTAAGTACCGAACATTTACATTATGTTGTGGAGAATTCACTGAAAAAGAAAAGACAGGCAATAATATTGAAAAGGTTAGTATTGGTTTTTTCAAAATTGGTAAACTTAATGTTTTGTTTTTTTTTGTTGATAGGTTTTAAAAAATTGTTTATCAGTATATGGTATAACAAATCTTCGTGACGTCAATTGGGTATGTGATCGAGGTGCTAACATTTTAAAATGCTTCAGACAAAATTATATCGAACCAATAAAATGCTATGCACATAGATTAAATAATCTTCTTAGTTTTGCATTTATTAATAAAGATGCTGATGTTGATGGTGACGAAGAAGAACTATTATCTTTACTTATAAATACGGTTGATCAATTGTTTGAAGAAACGATTGAGCGACAACGACTCATAGAAACAATCCAGTCATGTAAAACTTTGGTAAAATATGTCAAAAAGGTATGAAGAGATTCTGATTTGTTGATTCGTTGTTTTCTTCATTTTGAAAAAATTTCGCTGTTTTTGTGAAATATTTCATTCACATGAAATTTCTTTGCAAGTAGTACCTTCAGAAGGATACAATTACATCGAACTCCATGCCATTTAAAACAAGTGAAGAAATTAGTTGAAAATGTAAAAGAAAGGTCATTATTTGTAGCTTGAAAAGTCCTTTAAACATATATTGCACATATTGCTTCTTTAACTTTCAACATTGAATTTTTTTTTTGATGTAAATGCATATTTTTTTAGGCAGGTTTAATGGAAACAATTAAACATAATGCTACTAAAGCTGGTGGTTCTGCTACGTCGTTAAAGCAGGAAGTTTCGTCTAGATGGTTAAGTTTGTACAATTGTTTAGAGAGTATTTTTGATAACTATGAAATAATATCAACTGTATTGAAAGAAAAGAACAAATTTAATTTGGTACAAATAATTTCCAAACTGGCCTTAAATCAATTGCTGATTTTATTATTACCTTTACGATGTGCAACAAGAGACATTCAAAATGATCAACATCCAACACTTTATCTTGTGCAACCTTTTCATCAGTTGTTAATTCATACTTATTCATCTTATCCGAAGTTAATCAAATTTGCTCTTGACTTTGAAGCTGATCGTTTTCAATTGTTTTGTAATACTTATCCAAGTGAAAATACAGAGCCAAGTGGTAAGAAAATTAGCAACTATTTCTTGACTAAGTTTACCTAATGTCTGGAGAAATAAAAACAGGGCACATTTTCATAAAATATGAGCCAATACAAGTACCAGAAAGCTGGTTGGAGGCAGATAAATTAGAAAGCTTTTTCTTTCAGTATAATAAAATGTTTCTAGTGGAAAAGAATTTTTGTACCAGACACATTAAAGGAGTTAATAATAAAAAAAATTAAAACCGAATAAAGTCGAGATCTTTGCTATTAATCTTATAATTCATGTAGATATTTTTCGTTATTTACCAAGCTGGACATTTCATTAACATTTTCACTTATGATTCACAGTTGAAACTAAGTTTGAGAAGTTGTAACTCAACAAATGAATATCAAATGACGTTTTGTTTATTTAGGAATGAAATACTTTCGAGAACAAATACACCGCCTATTAATAGAAATGGATACGATGGAGTTCTTCGATGAACGTCATTATTTTGCTACATTTCTACACCCAAAACATAGGGATATGAGTGAGTCTATTCAATTTCATTTTTATTAATGGTAGTACTAATACTTTGTATTACTTTAAATTGATAGAATCATTATCATCTGCTAAAAAATTTGAAATCTTATCACGTTTACGATCAATATTAAGTGATATGAAGCAAAAATTCATTACCAATGATGTACCTGATCCACATAATGAAGAACAACGTCGAAAGAAATTCAAATCATTAAATGAATATATTGCTGATTTTGAAGATGATACTCGTGAGTATTTTAGCTTTTGCAAAAAACCTGCAACGCATGATTCTTTTAATTTAGTTAGAGAGGTAGAAAGAGAGTCACAACAAAACGACGACGATGAAACAATAATCGTATCATCTCAAGGTGGTTGTTTCTCTCCAGAATATATTTTTACAACAACGACATATCAGGTATCGAAACCTGATGAAATTGATCAATATTGTGCAATGAAGATATCTTCTAACTTAATTGGAAAAGATCCGATGTTGTTTTGGTCTCAAAGTTTTGTTCAAGAAACATTACCATTATTATCAAAATATGCTCGAACAATTCATTCTATACCACCAACATCTGCTTCGACAGAGAGAATTTTCAGTATTTCTGGTTTGGTTATTAACAATCGTCGTACTAGCTTATTACCAGCACATTTAGATAATGTACTAGTCATTCGATCAGCATTACGTAACCGAGTTGAAGAGTCTGATAAATGATATATTTATTTGTAATTTATTCTTTGAAACATAAATTGGCTTTCTTTCAAGTATGGAAAAAGACTTTTGTTTTTTCGATAAAGTTTAGGCGATTCTATATGTTAATAGTAAGATATGATTATGTCTTGTTTGTTTTTCTTTTTTTTTATATTTGTATAACTACAAGTGTATGATTTTCTGGAATAAAAATGACTATTTATAATAAATACGAAATATCAAAGTAGATGAAAACATTTTAATTTTTCTTCTCTCAAAAGTGGCACGGTGTAATAACAATCTATTTTTCTTTGTGGCATTAATGTTTTGTCAATACATATGAGATAACAGTACACACAATTATGTCCATCGTTACCATTTGTAAGAGCTACCGAGTTCTATGTTATGTTTGTACAATTTTCTAACTACTTTCTTCTTAACGTCGATCTAATATGATCTAGACTTACTGAATCACAATGAAGCCAGCATATAAGATCAACGAATTATACAATATTGACTACATAACAATACTGCAATAGGCGTACAAAGTTGATGAAGAAAATAGCTTCAGTTGACTCCCAAGCGGCCGCTCAACGATTATCGAACGGTCGCTCAACGGAGCGACCGCACCTGGCGACCCTTTTAACAAGGCATGGTGCGGGCGCTCCGCTCAGAAAAATTGCGTACGGAGCGGTCAGCACCGCCGTCACTTTTTAAAAATTTGACTCTTGTTTTCCGCCGCCGTTTCTCGATTTTTAGGGACGGTGCACACCTCTGTCACCTATGAAAAAAAGGAAATGTTTCTGTTGAATTGCGAAGTAACAAAAAAAAACATATGACATCATCTTGTGGCGTCCTCTTTCAGAGAAATTAAAACTTTCATTTTTGATATAAATCAAATTTCTCGTTTATTAAAATGAAATTTTTTCAGTTTTTAATATATAAAAATTTCCATATAATTTCTGGTCGGTTCTCTCTAATGGACCATTTACGTTTGAGAGGGATCTGAAAATCCATCCGATAAATTTTTAGTTGATTTTTTTTTTCAAAGTAGAAAACAAGATGGAGACAATCAATTATTATCCATCCGATACCACAATTGGTAGTCTTCTATTTAGTAATTATATATCTGAAGAAATTCGTTGTTTATGTGTAAAAGAATTAACATCATCACAAGCAATTGATCGTCTTGGTGTACTAATATCTGATAGTCCATATGATTTAGCATTAGGACCTTTTGATATATAATTACTAAATAGAAGACTACCA